CCCCTCGTGCTGCTCCTTGCGTCTTCCTTGGCTTCCCCCCTGACGCGCCAGGGTGGCAGTTCTACCACCCCACCTCTCGCCGTGTTCTGTCCTCCCAGGACGTCACGTTTGACGAGTCGGTCCCCTACTACCGCCTCTTCCCCTACCGCACTCCGTCCCTCCCCCCGCCACCGCTCTTCCTTGTACCAGGTCCCCCCCCGGTAGACCCCCTCCCCCCCTCAGGGTCCTGCCCCTTCAGGTGTGTCCCAGGTAGACGCAGTCGAGCCTGTCGAGGTTACTGGTGACTCTGGTGCTGCTGAGGGTGCTGAGCCTGGGGGTGCTGACTCTGGGGGTGCTGAGCGTGTGGGTGCTACGCCTGGGGGTGCTGAGCCGGAGGGTGCTACTACTGGGGGTCCTGAGCCTGGGGGTGCTGAGCCTGGGGGTGCTACTACTGGGGGTGCTGAGCCTGGGGGTGCTGAGCCTGGGGGTGCGGAGCCTGAGGGAGCTGGGCCTGCTCGTGTGGCGTCTGGCGGTGCTGAGCCTGGAGGTTCTCCGGGTGCTTCGTCTCGGCGGGAGCCACTCTCTCCACAGGAGCTGCGCGAGTGGTTTGCCCGGCGCTGGAGGCGTGCTGCTGGAGCTGGAGGTTCTTCGGCTGCTGAGGGTGCTGGTGCCGTGGGTCCCGGAGGTGCTCGTCCTGGGAGTACTGGAGCTGCTGGGCCTGCGGATACGACTGGAGCTGGAGCTGCTGAGGGTGTTGACGCTGAGGCTACTGCTGTCGGTCCTGGAGGCGGTCCTGCTGGGGGTACTACTGGTGCGGCTGGAGGTCCTGGAGCTGGAGGTGCTGCTGGCGCTGGTGCTGCCGCTGGGGGTACTGGTGCTGTCCCTGCTGTGTCTGGAGTCGCCGCGCGGCCTCGGCCGTACTTCGTTCCGCTCCTTCAGCAGGTTCTTGGTCTCCCGCCTTCTACTGGTCCTCCTCCTCCCTTAGAGTGTCCACAGCCTGTCCCGTCACAGTTCCAATTACAGCCGGCCTCCCCACTGCCCGCTCCCTCTCCCTACACTGGTCCTACTGGAGGTCTTGCTGAGCGTCGTGAGCCTGCGTCCCGCCCTGCATCGCCTGTCCGTGCTGCTCGCACTAGTGGTCGTGGTTCGCGTCAGCGTCCTCCTCCTGTCCCTGGCACGCACCGGATGTCTCTGCGTCCGTCCACTGCTCCTCTGCGTGCCCCTTTGCCTTCTCCTCCTGAGTCCTCTCTTCCTGCTCTTCCTGACCCGGAGTCGGACTCTCTTCGTGCTGCCAGTCCTACTCTCACACGTCTCCTTGCTACTGTTGTCACTGACCCTTCCTTTGAGTCCACTGCTGCGTCTACCCTAGTTACTGAGCTCGTCGACTTTGCTGCTCGCTGTCGTCTAGACTACGCTGCTAGTCTTGTTGCTGAGTCTGTCTGTCCTCCGTCCGTCGGGGGTGAGTGTGCCCTTGGCACGGACGTCCTTGAGGACAGGCAGGAGGAGTTCCAGTGTCTGGCTGCTGCTTCACCTCATCTCGTGTCCGTACTGCTTACCCCTGAGGGAGACCCGGATGCACTTGACATCCCGACTCCTCGCTCTTACGCGGAGGCGATAGAGGGTCCCTACTCCTCTCAGTGGCAGGCAGCTATGGACGCAGAGATGGCTTCCTGGAAGTCCACAGGCACCTACGTCGATGAGGTTCCCCCGCCTGGGGCGAACATCGTCAGTGGCATGTGGATTTTCAGGGTGAAGCGGCCGCCGGGTTCTCCGCCTGTCTTCAAGGCGCGTTACGTGGCTCGTGGCTTTAGTCAGCGGCAGGGAGTTGACTACTTTCAGACCTTCTCTCCCACCCCGAAGATGACCACTCTTCGGGTACTGCTGCACGTAGCTGCTCACCGCGACTACGAGCTACACTCTCTTGACTTCAGCACTGCTTTCTTGCAGGGTAGCCTGCACGAGGAGATCTGGCTGCGTCGCCCACCTGGCTTCACTGGGTCTTTTCCTCCTGGCACCCAGTGGAGCCTCCGGCGGCCAGTCTACGGTCTCCGCCAGGCACCGCGTGAGTGGCACGACACACTGAGGACTACACTTGCGGCTCTTGGGTTTGCTCCCTCTACTGCCGACCCGTCGCTGTTTCTGCGCACCGACACTTCTTTGCCGCCGTTCTACATCCTCGTGTACGTCGACGACTTGGTCTTTGCCACAGCTGACACTGCTGGACTCGCCCACGTGAAGTCCGAGCTGCAGAAGAGACACACGTGCACAGACCTGGGTGAACTGCGCAGCTACCTTGGCTTGCAGATCACCCAGGACAGAGCACGCCGCACCATTACCCTGACTCAGTCACACATGTTGCAGCAGGTCCTTCAGCGCTTCGGCTTCACGTACTCCTCGCCCCAGGCCACTCCTCTGCCTACTCGCCACTCGCTCTCAGCTCTGCCTTCGGATGAGTCCGTAGAGTCGAGTGGCCCGTACCCAGAGCTTGTTGGCTGCCTCATGTACCTGATGACCTGCACACGACCTGACCTTGCATACCCTCTTAGCATTCTCGCACGCTATGTTGCTCCTGGGAGACACAGACCGGAGCACATGGCTGCAGCGAAGAGGGTGTTGCGCTACTTGTGCAGTACGTCGGGCATGGGGCTTGTGCTTGGAGGGCAGAGTCCAGTGGTCCTCACTGGGCACGCAGACGCTTCTTGGGCTGACGACCAGGCTACGCAGCGGTCGTCACAGGGTTACACCTTCAGCCTTGGTTCCGGTTCTGTTTCGTGGCGGGCTACCCGCTCGTCTTCTGTTCTCGGCTCCAGTTGTGAGGCTGAGATCTACGCTGGGGCCATGGCTGCACAGGAGCTTCGCTGGCTCACCTACCTGCTGACTGACCTCGGAGAGCCGCCTCGTTCTCCTCCAGTGCTGTACGTAGACAACAAGGCCATGCTGGCCTTGTGTCGAGAGCAGAGACTGGAGCACAGAACGAAGCACATTGCTCTCCGCTACTTCCTTGCTCGTGAGCTACAGCAGCGTGGTCAGCTGCGACTTGCGTACGTGGCCTCTCAGGCCAACACTGCTGATATCTTCACCAAGGCACTTGCGCCTTGTGATCATCAGCGTTTATGTACTCAGCTGGGCCTTGTGCCTACCTTGCCTCACTTGCTCACCCCTTGACCTTGTTTGTACTGTTGCATATATATATACACGTGCTCTTGCTTGTCTAGCCTTATATGTATATGTAATCCTGCATGTGAACTGGCCTTGTGGCCTTGAACTTGTGCTCAGAATGTGTGGTGACTTTGTGATCCACCCTGAGCTTGCTTTGCTTTGCTTGACTGGTCTTGTGACCCCTTGTTCTCCCCCACTTTGCCTATGGGGGTGTGTCAGATTTATATGACAGAGCTACTGTAGGCTATAGTGGGGTAGCACATATGGGGTACAGTTTTTCTAGGGTTTGTATTTGTACCCAACTTTCCCTTAGTCATTCCCATTCCTGTTTTCTTCATTCACACATCTAGCAGACATATTTGCAATACGCGACGAGTATTTGGTATGTACTAATAATAACCTATTGGTTGTTGATATTACGTTGTACGTGTATTTTAATCGAAGTTGTGATAAGTCTGGGAAGCCTAAATATTACATATTGGATGCGAACATTGAATAGCAATATCCGAACACGCGAGCAAGCATCGAATAACTATCATGATAATATTTTATGTGCATTACGCGCCTAACAATTATGCTTGTGACCTAGCCGAATAGTTGGGCCAGGGTCTAACTCACAACCAATGCATATGGTTCGATGCAATGGAGAAAGGTAGCAACGGAGGGGACAATGGTGCGAAGTGAAAATCAGGAAATGAGCGGTTGTGAAGTGGATGAACAGCACAGCATGTGATTTGCACGATAATCATCAATTACGGAAAGGTGATTTTGTTTAGGTATCAAGTGTAGGAAGCGATGCTGACTGCTTTTGAGGTCTCAATGCATGGAGAGAAGCATTTTTGGAACAGCATGGCGGGAGCCGGCTGTGATACAGTGTTGGCGAAGTCGACAAAAACGACTGCATGTATATTCACTATCACACGATCTACAGAACAATACAGTACGGTACTGCAGTGGTGGAAGGGAATGGTCGGTTGAGCCGGTTTTGGATGCAAGCAGCCGTTGGCGAAGTCTACAATATCAGTAGGTGAGCGTACAGTTGCACCTACAATTGCATCCACATGTTTCAGGTCGGCTCGATTGAAGAAAACGTCTGGTTGGCTTGGCATTGGCAACCACACACTTCACCCCACTTTCAAGTGTGCATGGCCAAACGAGGAAAAGGCCCAATCACATTCGAACAAAAATAGGGGGAGGGGGAGGTTGGTTCCAAGGACGGAAAACCCTTCCCACAAAAGTTTCTGGTAACCCACACAACAGTTGATTGTACCCTCATTTTGTTCAACAGAACTACTCTTTTTCTCTAAAAGAACCAGTAAAATTGCAAATGATGGAGCAAGCTTAGCTCCCCAAAAGACGGCATTCCCGACGTGATTGTCATTTGCAATAAGGGGTCTTGCCAGTGCTATAGCACAAGGATTTAGTAGCCAGCAAGTCCAAGAGCAGTAGTAGGTCACGGACTTAGTACTACTACTAGTAGCACGTACGAACATCGTTACTTCTTAAAGTCAGTGAGGTGCCATGGAGCGCCGCGAGTTGGCGCTTTCGTGGTGGATTGCCGGCGCGCTTGTCATCGCGTCCCTCACCATCGTCCGCGCCGAGCCTCTTGATACCATGCAAGGTGGGAAGCGGTCCCGCAGGTCAGTGTCCAAGCAACTATTAATACTACTACTACAGCAGTACTAGTACAATCCCGGAGATGTTCGCGGGTGACGAAACAGCGGCATTGTAATTGCTTTGACTTCTAGACTACCATGCAGTAGAACGATTCCGTTGATCGTAATCAGCCGCAGAGGATGATTGGCCTTTTTTTTCACTGAAATCCCACATCTGTTCATTGTTTGTGCACTCGCGGCCCGCAGTTCAAGTCCTCAAGGACCTAAAAGCGGCGTGGGGGTCGACCTTCAACGCCAAAGGCTGGGGTGACGACAATCCCGACTGCACCACAACTGCCTACATCACCTGCGACGGCGACGGGTGGATCACGAAAATGTAAGACAATATCGAGTCGTATCCTGCTGGATTATCGAAAACGGGTTCCGGGTCGACGTCGCGCCTCTCGATAGTGACCCTCGTTTTGGCTCAGTGGTCTACGACGCGGGCGTTTTGCTCACTGAGGGGGGATATGATATTGAACCTAGGATTTGAAAGTCTGTCCTGAGGGGGGAACCCGATCTCTTCAACAAGGACGTTGACACCAGGGGGGACGGGTGACGTGGACGTACAGAAAGGTCGAAAAGCAACCGCTGCGTCTTGGAGTTGGCCCAGTTGCGTTATAATGCGTGAACTTTTGTTTCGCTCGCACATATGAAAAAAAAAACTACCATTATATCGGGCTCTGAGCCTACGGTTCAAGTCCTGGCTGGTCCACATTTTCCGCCTGTGGCGAGAAACTCGAATGCGGCTACCAGATTTCATCACCAAAATGTTACTGACCCAAATTTGACCCCAGCGAACGATCTTCTGCTGGCCTGGTCCACCAGTGAAATTGAGGTATCTGCTGGGCCCGACTCCCTGAAGGTCCCCAACGAGGACGTTGGCACCAGGGGGGGACGACCTGTGGGCTGTGTTAAGGGCATTCCGCTGCGCCAATAACACCCTCGTTTTGACCCAGTGGCTAGCGAGGCGTTATATTTTCTCACGCTGTTCGTTTGTGCCTTCTCCATGTTTCACAGGATCCTCAAATTAAAGAACCTCGGGGGCAGCATTCCTGCTACCTTCAGTTGGCTATTTAAACTGCAAACACTGTGAGCGATGACCATATTGAGTTCTATCATCTTGTTGTATCATGTTATGACATGGTGTGGCAAACTAGAGAGGAATATAATCTGTGCGTCCACCGGGTAAGACTCACTCCGAAGCTCTTTTTTGTTGTGTGTTTTTCTCTCCCCCTCTCTCTCTCTTTCCTTTCTAACCCGAAGCTCTCCGTATGCTGTAGGTCCCTTTAGGTAGTATCAGATGCATCAGGTAAAAACATTGTTGCATAAGGTGACAAACCTGTTGCTTTCCAGTCGCACATTTGAAGGTAAGCATTCCTCAGTCACCGAGTCAATGTCGTGTCTGTGCAGGAACCTGAGTTTTGTTATTTTCCTCTCTCTGTTTCCATACCATGTCATTATCTCCAAATGTTTCTCAGTGACCTCTCATACAACCGACTCACAGGCAGCCTCCCTAATACTTTCACTTCGCTCCTTAAACTGCAATCCATGTGAGCTGCCTTGTTATGTTACGTGCTGTGGATGCCATGTGGAACCTCAGTGAGGTTCATATGTTGATTGGGTGTCGTCTATCTCATTCTCTTCTTCCTTTCGATTTCTCCCTGCTTCCTGGCCAGGCCTGTAACAAGGCTTGTGTGCTGTTGTGCTGTCCTGCATCTGCCTGTCCTTTCCCCTTAAACTGGGCTACACTCATTGCATGTGGATTTGTTGAATTCTTACAGGGGTGTCTTGTCTTCTCTCCTTGCTACCCAGTCTGTTTTGCTTCCAAATCCTCCCTCCTATCCTCTTTCATCCTCTCCTCCTCTCTCCTTTCATCTCCTGTTCCCTGCACTTTCTTTGTACACATCCACTCTGCTTAACTCCTCTTGTTTCTTCTCCTTCCCCCACTTTACTCGTTTTGTTATTTACACTTAACGTTGTTCCTTCTCCATTTCTGCATCTACCGCACCCTTGCTCGTGTCCCAACACACCATCCAATACATGAACCAATCTCATTCATCGCAGATCTCTACATATCAATCAGTTCACGGGCACCTTTCCTCATACCATTGGCTTTCTTTCAGACTTGACACTCCTGTAAGCCGTTCTGCTTTTGTATGCACTTCCACGTCCGTCCCTCCTCTTCTCCTCGCGTTCAATTCCTGCTGTTCCACTCTTGCCTTGCCACTCTCAGTCTCCTTCAATCCACATTTACATAGCCACGGTTGCTCTTGGTTGTACTATTACCCCTTCCCTTATGAGAAATGCCCGTACCTTTCCAAACAAACTGACATTTTGCATTCACACTCTATGGTTTCTTCCACCATTACAGAAGAGCTGATCTCAATCAATTAACTGGATCAATTCCTGCCCAACTTGGCAGTCTAAAAAAACTGATAACTCTGTAAGGCCTCTGCTGTGGACTCTGTAAGGCCTCTGCTGTGCTAGGGCTCCCTTTCTCCCCAGTTTCTCTCCTTCTCAATGCTTGCCACTCCTGCTCGCTCCATTGGTTGTCCTCTCTTCTCTTCTCCTCGTACCACATTCTCTCCACTCCACCGGCCATAATTCATGCCATGAAGTTCACGGTACTCAATGTACATAGCTTAGGTAGACTCCTGTCAATATATAAAAGGGTGGTGTAGATACAGGATATCCAATCACACAATTCTGGTGACCATGAAGCTGGTACGATTTTGTTGATTCCCGTAGGCAAGCTTACCTGCTGTGGGGCTCTGGTCTGGCCAGCAACAACAGAGAATAAGCTATCTCAATTATCTCTTGCTTCTAATAATATGAAACGCCAAGTACCAGCTGTAGAATGTCCAGCTTTCGCTTCAGTGTGGTTTATGTCCCTCTGCCTTTGTCTATTGGAATTCTTGTTTCGTGCTGTATATCATAGGAGTCTGCACTACAATCGGTTCACAGGATCTCTCCCCTTTGAGCTTGGTTCCCTGACAAACCTAAAATCCATGTAAGTCCTTTGTTTATTATGCCCACTTGTCACCCTAAAATGCCATGTACCCGCTCTCTTGTGCGCTTGTATCTGTGTTTGTATCAAGCCATTCCCCCTGCTAGTGACTACATGGATCATCATGGACCTACTCGTTTGCAGTTCAATTATCACCAATCTCACTCCTTCACTTCCTCTCCTCTTCATAACGCATCGCCTCTCATCTCCTTGCCCATGCCCTATTCATATCAGATTCTCGCCTCTTCTTTTCTGTGATCTTATGTGAATTTTTGTTTCGCTCCCACTTTTATTTTCTGCTCCATTGCCTCTCCATTACACTCTGTTGACCTCTTTCCTCGTCCCAACTTTCTGCGGCATTTCTTCCTTTCACTAGGTTTCCCTCGCCCCTTACCTCATACTACCATTGAATGCATCACTGGTTCATTCTTCCCTTGCAGGACTCTGTTTTCGAATCAGCTCACTGGACCAGTTCCCAATTCTTATAGCTCGCTTACTGCCCTGACCAACCTGTAAGATGCATGCTTTGTTGAGCTGTCCTACACATCCTCCCTCTCCAACCTCATCCCCTCACGCTCACCTACTGTCTCACGTGTTTCTATGTCTGTACCTCTCTTCGTCGTCTTAATCCAGAACCTTTTCTTCCTCCAGTGCCCCAGTCATGATGTCTCCAACGGTACGTCCCTCTGACCAGTTTCATCACCAGATACAAATCCATTTCTTATCTATGTCTGAATTCCACAGGAACCTGTACAACAATTTACTTTCCGGCTCATTCCCAGACACCTTTGGCAACCTTAAAGGCCTACAAAACCTGTAGGTTCTCTCCCCTCTAGTTCTCTAGTGCATGGACCCTCAAAATGGTCACGGCACGTCGTGTGTTGAGCGTCGTGTGTTGAGGACTAGAAAGAGGACTTGGTAAGGTTGCACAGGAATCCACACGAATCCACAACCTGCTAGCCTCTCCCTGAGGGTGGTGAAGGCCTTGATCGTGAAGGCCGTTGACAGATAAGCAACAAGCCCAGGACCCCAGGTGTGCTCACTAACGCTCACCAGTTGCTGGGGTATGGGGTCACCCGCAGGGAATCCGCACTCTGCGGCTGCTGGTAAGGGGTGGTGACCCTATCTCTCCCAACAGGACACGATAAGAGGTCCCCTCTCTATCCTCATTCGCCCACGGCGACCTTCCTGAGGCCCGCCTCCTCCATGGCTGCCTCCGCGAATTCTGCCTTGCCACGTGTGCAGTGTGCTGGTGCAAGCACTCCTCTGCGATTCCATCATGTGCTGCCGCCTGTAGCAGGCAGGCAGCCTCATGCCATGTTGGGCCGTGGGAGTGTTGTTGTCTCTGAGAAGGAGAGTCACTTGTGCATCATGATCGCCCGCCCCACTTGCATCGTATCTTTTGCATTCCTGTTGTTGACACTGCTTGCTCCCCCGCTCTGCACAACACCATTCCTCTCTCATTCGCTCGCGCCTATCCTCTCTTCTTCTCAGACCGCTCCTCTCTCCACTCACCTCCTTGGAGGGATCTCCGCCATATTTTTGTTACTGCTTGTTTGATTAATGCCTCATTCACATCTTGTGTTCATCATCCCAGGATAATTGGAAAAAACAAGTTCACTGACTCAATCCCCACAGCCTTGTTCACTCTTACAAACCTCGCTAGCCTGTAAGTTATCGGGTTTGCTTACCTTATCTTAAGGGCCTGTATCTATCGCCCGCCCAGTATCCCCTTTCTCTGACCTCTAATCCACCAATTTTGCAGTTCGTCAATTCTCTTTATTAGGACTTGCCTTCCTGGTGCGATGCTCTTACCTGCCTGCGTGACTGCTTCTTCCAACAATACGGCTGTCTGCTTGTCCTTGGTCTAATTACTGTAGTTCTCTCTGCTGGCGGTCTCACCAAATGTGGAGACAAAACATTGGCGAAACACGCCTGTCTCATCTGTTGCTGCCTCAAACCCCCACCCACGTCTCGTGTTCATTATCTCAGGTCTCTTTCTGAAAATCAGCTCACAGGCCCAATCTCTGTAGGCATCAGTGCTCTTACAAAACTTAGGGCACTGTAAGTTATCCTAATTTCTTACCATTCCCCTCCCTTCCATTCTCTCTCCCGCTAGTCAAAAGCCATACTTCTTTTACCTTTGTACCTCACTACTACACCACGCTTCCACCTCGTCTCTTCAGTCTAGGTTTCTCTCAGAATGTGTTCGTTCTTCTATTTTCAAGCCTTTATTTGTTCAGAGGTAGCAATGTGGCTAGCATAAAAGAATATTCAGAGGCAGTCAACAGAACAACAACCCTCCCTAGTTGAATTCTTCTGTCCCCTGCAGCTTGCCTCGGCAGCATTCTCCTCTGCTTTGGTACTTTCTATGTCATCAGAACCACTTGTGCACGTCACTTGATGAGCTGAAATGGTTAATCTTCTTGTTGCTCCTGTATCTGTTCCTCTCCCTTGCATGTTGGTATCCATCGCAGTGGCCTCTCATACAACCAGCTTTCAGGCAGCATCCCTGCTGAACTCAGTGCCCTTAACCAGCTGTATTCAATGTAAGAAACGACCTTTTCTTCTTTCGTGCACTCTGTGTCGCTCAACCTTTCTTTCCTTAAGAGTAGCCTTTTTTTCTCTCTCGCAACCTTACTCACTCCTCCTCTTCCTCCTCCTCCTCCTCCTCCTCCTCATCCTCCTCCTCATCCTCCTCCTCCTCCTCCTCCTCCTCCTCCTCCTCCTCCTCCTCCTCCTCCTCCTCCTCCTCCTCCTCCTCCTCCTCCTCTTCCTCCTCCAATCTTCTGTTGCCAATCCTCCTCCTCGTACTCTGATGCCAAATTTCTCTACAATTTCAAACACCAGCCTCTGTTTTTACTGCATCCATTCATGTGAGCGTAGGAGATTGTGCTGAGGGGGTAAGAATGACAACCCTGGTCTGGTTGAATCACTTTATCCCCTGCTGCTCATTCGGGCGGCTCTGCTTGCTGTTCTATATGTAATTATCACCTCATCATCTACACAAATTTTGCATGAATATTGCACTTTGCATTATTAAGGATCAATCAAATTTTACCAGCCTTGTTGTGTGATTAGTGTATTCAGTGAACCTTCTGTACTGGCAGTCAGTTACCCTTTACTATATTCAACGTGCCTTATTCTCTCTGTTGCATGCTTCGAACCATCACAGTGAATTGGAATACAACAAGCTCTCAGGAAGCATCCCTGCGGAAATCAGTGCCCTCACTCAACTGAATTTTCTGTGAGATATTCCGGATTGTATCTTGCCTGTCTTTCCTCTTTGCCTTCCTGTACCGGACCCTCTTTTCATCCTCGTCCTCGTCGTCGTCGTCCTCCTCCTCCTCCTCCTCCTCCTCCTCCTCCTCCTCCTCCTCCTCCTCCTCCTCCTCCTCCTCCTCCTCCTCCTCCTGGTGTAACAACTTCTTGTTTCTTGTTCTTTTGACTCCTCTCATAATTACATACAAACGCCACTAAAAAAAAAAAAAAAAAAAAAAAACTTCGAGGCTGTTGTGCTAAACAATCAGCACCCCTCTTCACGCGTCTCATACCCCTGTCTTTTCCAGTCTTTGTCTTTTTTTAAACGGCATTCTTGCACTCTAAACCGTGGCATTCTGCCTACGTCCATTGCATGGTCATTATCATTGTGCAGGCCACTTCGCAGCAACAACCTTACTGGATCTATCCCGACTGAACTCAGCCTTATGCCAGCCTTGAGAGATATGTAAGATCTCTGATTTCCTGTGCTATGCTCTCTACCTCTGTGATCTCTCATCCTATCCTATCCACCATTAATCGTTTTTCTCTCTTGCCACAAGATTCTCTATACCACTACCTTTTAGTTTCACGCTTTTCCAGAATATTCACCATTGAAAACATTTATAGAATATCTGTGCAATGCTCATGCAGTACTCTCACATTACTCCTCCTCCTAGGGTGCTCCTATGGTGGGCGTATGGTGTGAGCCTGTGGTATGGGCCTATGGTGGGCGTATGGTGTGAGCCTGTGGTATGGGCCTATGGTGGGCGTATGGTGTGAGCCTGTGGTATGGGCCTATGGTGGGCCTTTGTGTGGTGTGGATCTTCTATGGTGTTCTGATGCCTCTCTATGTGTTTAAAGCCCTTCAGTGGCTCCTGTCCATCTTGTGCGGTTCAGTATCAGCCTTTCAATGCCATCCTTTCCGCTCTTGCTTGCATGCGTGACACCACCAACCCTGCCAGTGATGTTTCGTGCAACCAGCTCACAGGCGGCATCCCTGCTAGCTTCAGCGATCTAACTAGCATGGGAAAATTGTGAGACTTTATTGGACAGAAGGACAGGCAAGGTTGATGTGTTGTGGGTGGAGCTGTAATGTGTGGGTGCAACATTGAGTGCAAGAAATGTGTGTGTTTGTCGTACATGCATGCATGCATACATGCATGAAACATGTTGACTTGGGCATATATCCATGGACACATGTTGAGTTGGGGCATGCATGCATGTTGCGAATGTCACACTGTGTGCTTTGCCCACATTCCTTACCTTTCCTTAACGCACAAATTACTACAGCCTTCCCCGTTCCTTTCCTCCTCAATCCCCTCCCCTTGTTTTTCCTTTCGCATCCCTACTCTTTTCTCCTCCGTGCTTCTATACTGCTGCACCCAATTTGTGACACCTTAGATCAGGCGAAGGTCCCTCCAAGCCCCTCCCTATAATCTCTCAGGCTGTTTGCAAACAGTTTAGGGGCAATGTCATCGTGATGCTATTGTATCTATAAATCGTATAGCGATTCACCAACCAAAGTGTTTGTGCCTCTCTTTTCACTCCTCTTGTGGCTGTCATGCGCACACCAACTCAGGAATGTCTCTTATAATCAGCTCAGTGGCTCAATCGAAGTAGTTGGAACTATTGGTGTTAATAGCCTATATTCCCTGTAAAACCTCTTTCTCTGCCCTTCAGTCTCTGCCCCTCGTTTCCTTTGTCCCCTTCTGTCCGCTGTCCGCTTCTCCATCTCATGACGTGCCTTCCCTGTGTCGTCGCAACAGTTTTTGTCACTGGGGCTTCACCTTCTGTCTTTGTCGTCTCGATTTGTTTCTTCCTTGTGCATTCATGAAACCTCGAATTTGAACCGGATCAAAACGCACTGGTTCAGTTACAAGTCAAACCGAAGTAGGTTTGGTCTCGGTTCATTCAAAGTTCGACACGGCTCAACTAATAAGGTCGAACCGGACCAGAAGGTTGAATGTATAGTTCAATTCCAACTCAAACAGGTTCAATTCAAACCAACCAGCAGTTTGGTATCTTGCTCAACCGTATCTTAGCATCTTCACATTTTGCTATTCAAAAACTGCAAGCTCAACTGCCTTCCCACCCACTTTCCACCCTGTTTCAGTGATATTTCATGCAACCAGTTCACGGGCAGCATCCCAGCTACCTTCAGTGATCTACAAGAACTGGGATCTTTGTGAGTGGGATTGGACACAAGGAATGTCAAGAATGATGTGTGTTGTGCTGTGGGTGCATCTGGAATGTGAAACTTACGTCCATGTATTTCATGATTGCTGCGTTAATCTTGGCTTTAAGCCGGTACAGTTGCTTCACATGCGGTCCAAAAAACATCTCTCCACATTTCTCCAATCACCTATATTACCACACACACACTGTTAGACTCCTGGAAACATCCCAGGGGCAAGGCAATGTCCATTTTCCTGCTGTCTTTACGATAATGTAGCAACAATTGCACTTCCTGAGATTGTGCTGCTGTTTTCTGGTTGTGCCTCTCTCTCTCTTCTATTCTCTTATGGCTGTCATGTGCTCATCAACTCAGAAATGTCTCTTATAATCAGCTCAACGGCTCACTTGAAGCTATTGGAACTATTTCTGCCCTATATTCCATGTAAGACATCTTCTGATCTGCTGTGATCTCCTCCGTTTCTCTCTGTTAGTAGAAATGTCAGCCTTAGTTGATTTTTTTTTTTTTTTTCCCAGATTGCTCCACACCAGATCTTCTGGATGTGTGTTATGTGTGTCTTCAACTCTTTGTCACTGGAACTTCACCTTCTGCTGAGTTTGTCACCAAGACTTGCTAGTTCCTTGTACATTCAAACCCACTAAGTATCTTCACCGTTTGCTATCTCAGAAGCTGTAAAATCAACTTCTATCCCTTCCAAATTCATTCTGATCCAGAGATCTTTCATCAAACCAGTTCTCAGGCAGCATCCCCGACAGCTTCAGTCGTATAGCTTGGCTGGGATACTTGTGAGACTACTGGACAGGAAGGATAGGCAGGATCGATGTGTTGTGGCTGTAGAGTTGGAATGTGAAGAATGCAGCAGGCATGTGGAATGATACGTGCATTTGTATTGTGGTTGCCGCATCCATAATAGTTTGATACAGGAGTGTGCGAAGCCTGTGCAGTAAAAAATAGTCGGGCGCTGCTTGTTTCGCTTTATCTCCATTTCATCTCTTCTCATTCGCCAACTCCAGTACTCTCCACATTGCTTTGTGTCTTCTCAAAACCAGGTTCCTCATTTTGTTCTCTCAACCATCCTCTGTTGCGCGTCTTGCACTTCCCCTTACCAACCACAGATATCTAGGAAACAATGCGCTCAGTGGCTCTTTTCCGGCCGTCTTGAGTTCCCTTACATTCTTGACATGGCTGTATGTTTGTCTCATTCTCTCTTCACCTTGTCTCTGTTCCATACCATTCCCCTTTTTTTCCTCCATTCGTTATTGCCATTCCTTTTGTTCCTCCCTCTTCTTCGCATTTCTTCTCGCTGTTGTTCCGGTTAGTATTTTTGTTCCTGCATCTATTGCCCCTCCTTTCCACGTGTTCAGAAATTTAACATGCCATTATACTAGTTGCTGTAAGTACTTTGTAATAACCTCCTTCTCTCATGCCTGGTCTGTCCAAACCTTCCCTCATTCTCACTGTACAGGGCTCTAAACAACAATCAGTTCAGCGGCACAATCCCCTCAGACATCAGTCTGTCTGGATACCTGGAAGACATGTAAGCATGTCCATTGGTTCAATTCAATTCATTGTCTTGAGTTGTCTTCACATTGTCCCTTGGAACTCTAAGGCTGTACGTGAATATGACTTTGTCTGCTGCTCGTCTTAAATGCTAGTTTCTCATCTTGTCAAATCCTCGCAATTTCTCCATTCGCCCCATGCTCATGTTTCTGGCTGTGTTAAACTTATCCCTTCTATTTATAATCCTCTCTCCCCATTTTTAGGCCTGTTATCTTCTCCTCAACCAGGATATCACTAGCATGATCACTCCTCTCAGTGGGTGTAGTAACTCATCCAGTGTCTGTTCCTTCCCATGCAATCATCATCATCCATCGTATCAACATGCCTCTCTAACGACCCCAGAAACCTTGCCGGAAACCAGTTCACTGGACCCATCCCTGATGGATTCAACTCGCTTACAAAACTCACTCGACTGTAAGCAATATCACTTCGCTGCAGTGCTCGCCTGCCTCTCTCTCTCTCCGTTCCACCCTTTCCCCTTCTGCTCTTCTGATGCTGGCAAACTTTGGTCCTCCCCTTGCTTCCTTATTAGCCTGTGGTTCAATTCACCCTTCCCTACGAATTCAGCTCCAGCTGCTACCCTTTGCATGTCTGTCTTTCTATTTCAGTGACCTTTCATCGAACCAGTTTTCAGGCAGCTTCCCCGATGGCTTTAGCAGGCTCAACAAATTGCAAAGCTTGTGAGTAGATCATGTTCCTGGTCCCAACACGAATGCATTTGGCGCCTAGTTATGAAGTACTGAAGAGAGGAACGCTAGGCCGAACACCAACGTCTATCTCGAGCCAAATACAAGATGAAACCACCCTGACCAAGGCAATCTCTGTCCTCCAAACCTTACCCGTTCCGAATGTTGGTTTTGAATCCATTACATTACATACAAGTTGTATCATAGTCGTGTTACCCTATCCCTGTACAATTATGTCACTACTTTATCAGAAAACCTTGCCATTGTGTCTACTTCTTGGTGTGTGTCCTCTACGCTACTTGTGCCTGTACGATCAGGTTGTAATGCTAGCATTCAACGTTCTCAGACACCCCTGCTTTTATGTCTGCTTCTTCGTGTGTCCTCTCCTTGTGCCTGTACGATGATTTCCTGCTACAGGCGTCTCCTCAAGAACCAGCTCACTGGCTCAATCCCTTCTGGCATTGGCAATATGGATCTGACTTTCCTGTGAGCGCTCTTTAGTGTTATCCTGACATCCTTTCCATATCTCCCTGCCTTGTTTGCACGCCATGTCACAGTGGAACCTTGCTGTGAGGGGATTTGAGACGGGAGAGTGTGCGGAGATGAGTGAGATGCCTTGCACCAACCAAGTAGCGCCTTACTATTCGAACCAGCTCTCATGGCCCATGCTATAAAAATGACCTAAACTAGAAGCAACCTGTGCTCATGCTACCGCTTTTTATCCCATGCTTGCTATTTCTAGCACACTTACCATCCAAGTGGTCCTTTCATCTGACTTGAACTGCACATAATACTGCCATCGTGCTTCATTCTCTCATAATGACCTCAGCATGAACACAAGAACTATACAGCTGCCTGCTCTTCTCTGCAGTCTCCAGCTCTGCTCATGTTTTTATCAACTCCAAATCCATCATATTTCTCTTTCCTTCACGTTAATCGCTACAGGTCTTTAAGTTACAACCAGTTCACTGGCGCTATCCCCTCTGAAATTGGTTCCCAAAAGAAATTGTTAGCCCTGTAAGGCATCTTCACTTAAACCGATGCGCATTGGTTGTTGTGCTGTTTTATTCTCAGTAGGTATTCAACTATTTGAATCAACGTGTATGTAAACATAAGCACGTGCTGTTTTTCAGAGAACTACCGTGGTAGTAATCCCCCCGTTTGCATTTCTTCTCGATTATCTCCTTTTTCCATGGTCTATTATATTGATTTTGCTTTTCCTGTGCAAGCTATCTTATCAGCTTCATCTTGCAAGTGCCACCCCTTGCGCGTTTCATCCTGTCCCAGTGATCTTTCATCGAACAAGTTCTCAGCCAGCTTCCCTGCTAGCTTGACAGAACTCAGTAAACTGCAAAAATTGTGAGTTACTTCGCTCGACAGAAGCCTTTCTGTTGTGGATGGTGGAAGGACAGGTGCAACGAGAAATGACAGGCGTGTACTGCATTGCTGCTGTGCTATCCTTTGAATTAGACATGAGCAAATACTGAGTCAGGTTTTACTCGACTTCGAGCTTGTTTTTAGACAAGTTTTTCTCAACTCGAACGCTCATTTCTATTCTACACTTTTCTTTTTCCTTCTGCATCTCTCTCCGTTTTATATGGTCTCTCCATCTATGCTGTTCCCACTACGAATCACAGGCGTCTTGACAACATGGGGTTGACTGGCCCTATCCCTACTGTGATGTACTCCTTGACATCACTGAAAGAACTGTATGGTCTTTTACTGGCCATTTCATATGCTAGATAGATTTCCTGCCTCTCCACTTGCTCACACACTCGTTTGTTGTTTCCCCCCTTGTCTTCTCCTTTTTTACATTCTCCTCCATCGGTTTGTTTAACCAAAAGGGGGGATGCAGGCTAATAAGGTATCTTGCCGCACAAAAATTCTTGCTGTCCCTTGATTCCCTTTATTGCGCATTTTTCCCTACTACATCCGTTTTATCACATCACACACACACACACACACTACCATTGTCTTATACATTCGCCTCGCCTATGTACTGGCATGTCTCATGCACGCTTCAAGTCTCTGATCTGAATTGACTGACCTATCAAATGCTTTGTTCATGTCTGTGCATCAACACAGGTCTATAGTTAACAGCCAAATCAACGGCTCAATCCTCCCAGCTATCACCACTCTCTCAAACCTGGAAACTCTGTAAGGCCTAGTGAATGACTAGCTGGTGTGTGCGTACATTGGTCCCCCCTCTGCTTCCAAACCTGGGATACATGATAACAGCGGCAGAGCAAAGCAGATGAGCAGAGAGCAAGCAGAGCAGATGAGCATTCGCCCCGCATCAGTCCATCAATTCATCAATCAGCTCCGTATCTTGCCATCGCATCAACTCATCAATCAGCTCAATATCTTGCCACCCCATCCCATCAATTCTGTTATCCCATCAGCTTGTCAATGGGTCAACTTATCATCAATCTATCTATCATTCAGTTCATCCATACATCCCCCCATACTCAGTTCATCCATCCATCCCCCCATACCAATTTCCATCTCCAGGGACCATCAACTAGAATCACAACAATTAGGGCCCATCAATTCTATGATCCACAATCCTGTCATCGCATCAGCTTTATAATGGGTAGTAGACCCGTCATCAATCCATCCATCCATCAATCCATCCATCCATCCATCCCCCAAAACCCTTTCTAATCCCCTCTCCAGGGACCTTTCCCGCAACCAGCTCTCTGGGCCCATCCCTTCGAAGCTTGGCTTCTTGGACCGTCTGGTCTCACTGTGAGTATTAACACGAGAGAGCTACTCCATGTGCCACCATTCCACCCTTGCATTCCCCATCCCATGGCCGCTGCACGTTTGCTTCGCTAGCGTGAGCTGCTCAAGCACAATATGCCTATATATATATATAGATTCTCAAGCACAATATACCCCTATATATATAGGCTCCCACGCACAATATTCCCTTCTACATGTCAACTCTCAAGCACAACATACCCTTGTATAAATAGACTCTCAAGCACAGTATACGCTTGTATAAATAGGCTCTGAAGCACAATAAACATTTCCTGTACTCATATACCCCATGCTTATCCACCCTCCCCTGTGTCCCTCTGGCTTACAGGAACTTAGCCTTCAACGCGCTTTCCGACTCCATCCCTTCGAAATTCAGCTGGTTATCCAATCTCGTCTACCTGTAAGCTTGCTACTGTTGACTGTGCGGTTTGCTACTCAAGTTGTTCTCCTCTCGCCCACTCCAATCTCGTCTACCTGTATGTCGTTCATTAGCCACCTTGCTACCCAAGCTGTTCTCCTCTCTCCCTGTGGCACCTCTGTGGTCTGTACAACTACTCTTTATTGGTTCCGTACCATTTCTAGCATGTCATATGTTTCCTTTGAATGCTTTTGCTGCATGCTTGTGCTAGTGCATTACTTGCATTCTTGCTTACCAGCCCTCCTCTCTGGTTTTCCCCATAACCTGTGAGTTAAATCATGGTCTTCTGACATGCAGCTTGCAGTTGAAAGCATAGTCTACCGCTGCATGTGCACTGCATTGTCTTTTATGTTAATCCATCCATGCATTGTCCGTTTGCAGTCCATCCATCCTTCTGCACTCCTTCTGGCTCATCTGTCTGTTATGGTAACCCTTCTAATCCTCCTTCTCCCCTTGTGTGCCATCCCTCTGCTGCTCTCTTTCTATCCATCCATATTTTGCTCTGCTCTCTTCCTGATAGGGATTTAAGGCTGAACGACCTAAGTGGGCCTCTCCTCCCAGCTACGATCACCCCTCTGAAGAGTCTCCAGGAGCTGTAAGGCGGCTCCTCATGTGCTTACATCAGCTTTCTCGTTATAAGCATTTAAAAAAATCACAAACCTCGATCAGAATATGCATTGATGAATGATTATGTGACCATTTCTGTTAATCTGTATGTGCAGGTGGCTTGAGAGGAACAAGATCACTGGCTTCATTCCAACAGTCATTGGCAGCCTGACCAATCTTATGCAGCTGTGAGTGGCGTTTGATCCGTGTGCATGGGTAGCTAGCAGATGAGATACAAACCGCGACATTTCAAATTCTCATAATTCGTAGCACTCAAATTTCTTCATGGCTCTCGCGCCACTCGGTCAAGAACACACACACACACACACACACACACACACACACACACACACACACACACACACACACACACACACACACACACACACACATATATGTGTGTGTGTGTGTGTTCACTCTAGCCCCATTTGCATGTGTCGTTCGTTCGCTCCTCTCCTGCCATGAGGTATTTTATCTCCAACATGGGGAACCTTTGCAATGCTCCTAAGCCTCCTCTCCACTCTTCTCATCTCCTCTCCTCTCCTCTTTCCTCTCCTCTCCTCTCCTCCCCTCTCCTCTCCTCTCCGCTCCTCGCCTCTCCACTTCCCTCTCCTCTGTTCTACTCACCTCTGTTCGTCTCATGCCTTCACATTCACCATGCCTCCACCATCCCTCTCACCATGCCTTCACCATGCCTCCACCACCTTCCACCATGCCTTCACGTGATGCCTCTTAGGTCTCTTGCCAACAACCTGCTGTATGGAAGCATACCAGACGCAGTCACCTTGCTCACAAAACTCAAGACTTTGTAAGACCTGACTTATTGCATGCATGGACCAGCACTCACATGGTTTTGTTTCCATTATTTCATATTACCGCCTTCGGGACCACTGCAATACATCTCACCACCTGCAATACATTTCATCTACTTTGTTTCCATTATTTCATATTTGCGGCGTCGTCTTTGGCCCAAACTTCGTATCACCTTCATCTCACAACAGCCACACCATATTCACCTTCTCCTATGATCCTATCCCACAAGAACCACTCACCTTGCATCACCCTCATCCGCATATGGCCAATTTTGGCTGAACTGAGATGACTAAGGTGCCCTCCGCCCCTGTGCTTTCCCCCCCCCACCACCTCCCTGTCCCTCCCCCCTTTTCTCTCCCCCCCCCCCCTCCCCCTCGCTCGTCCCCCTCCTCTCACCACAGCGACCTCTCTCGCAACTATTTCACAGGCCCCATAGTGAAGCCAGCTAACGTGCTGGCTGTGCTTTCATACAACTACCTCTCGGGCACTCTGCCCGCACAGCCAACAGACTTGCTGGATTCAAACTGCTTCAAACTGGCTGAAGGGGAAACCACACCCCTGCAGCGTTCCGAATCAGAATGCCGGGCGTTTTGTGGCATCTCGATAGGTTCTGTCGCCCCTCTGTGCACGGGGCATGGGGTGTGCTACCCCGATGGGCCTAACTTGGTGCCTACCTGCTTGTGTGATACCTTGCAAGGGTACAACGTGTTTCGACAGGTCTACTGTCTTGTTGATGGTAAGTGGTGCAACAGTTAAGCGGAAAAATAAAAAGGCATGGGATGCGGGCGCAAGATTGAAGGGTGTATGTTCATCTTTGCTCTCAAATTGCTTCTCTGTATGGATATTCACAGGGTTATGGACAATTATATTTCGCATGCAGACGATCATGCGTCCTAATGTCAGTTCACACAGCACAGCAACACCATCCCTTAGAACCTTTCCGGCCCTCAATATATCACACAACCCTAACCTCCTCCTCCTCATCCTCTCCTTGGCTTCTGTTTTCCATCTATCTACACGATCTCCTTGCAGAAACGGACCTTGTCTCTCCAGTAGAAGGGGAGATTCTCCCCGCGTCTACCGTGCTCACAGCAGGAGCGAAAAAGGAGGCAGTAGGGATGTTCAACCCGGACCCAGTGCCACTCTTCATGTACGAGGCTGGGCGTGTGTACCCAGGCTGTGGGTTCGAGCTGGCCTTCAGTGTCAACTTCACCTTTGCCCTCTCGCCTAAGGGCAAGGCCACGTCAAACGGCTTTGCCTTTGTCGTTTCGGCAACCAACACAGTGGGGAGCGACGTTGGAGTGGGCTACGGTGGGATGGACACCCGAAGCATGGCGGTTGAGTTTGACGTGGTTCAAAACAAGCCGCAAGACAACATGAAAGACCCGCACGTGGGGGTGAACATTCAGGGCCAGGAGAAATCAGTCGCAGCTGTGAAGTCCCCGTTCCCACTGGCCAACAAGAAGCCATACACGGCATGGGTGGATTATGTGCCTGGGGACCCGGGATTCCTTCGGGTGTTCCTCGCAACAACGGCAGTGAAGCCAATGAAGCCGCTGATAGAGACGCGGCTGTCGCTGTGTGCGGTGCTGAAGCCAGGGCCGCCCCAGGCTGTCCCAGAGCAGCCGCGGGCGTTCTACTTTGGCTTCGTGGCGTCCACTACAGTGAAGCCGTTCATGATTCATACCATTACGAGCTCTTACCTGCGCACAGGTGAGAATCTGGCTGGTAGCTCCTTTGGTGCTCCATTCATACCCTCCTCACTTCTGCCCTGCGGACGGGTGGGTGGGAACGCTCGCTCACGCCAAAGCCCTAGAGGAGAATCTGACCCCTAGGCTGCTTGCACTTGTAGCCGTTACACTAACCTCCTGGCCTTGTGAACCCTCCCAGCGTCGATCAATGCCCCCAGAACCGTTCTGCTGCGTTCCCTCTTTCCTCCTTGCCTGCATTCCTTCCTACAGGCGCTCCTCCTCCACCTGCAACAGTCAACATCAATCCAGGCAAGTCCTTTTTATGCTAACACAGAATCAATCAATCAAACATGCTTCACCCACGAGTGGGTGATTTTCTAAGTTCACTAGTACCTCTAGAATCCAGAATCAATCAATCCAGGCAAGTCCTTTCATGTTCACTAGTACCTCCAGAAATCGAACCTTCTTACTGTTCTGACATGCTTTCTTGTCTTGTAGGCTCTAACACATAGCTTCTCCATGGCAGCACCAGTGGCATCTATACATCTACCCGTCACGTCCCCTCTCACCTTTCCCCCAAACCTATCCCTCAGCGGCTGCATCTCTCTCCCAAACTTCTCACACACCAATGTCCCCTGCTCTCCAGCCTACGGTCTAAACGTAACGCTGAATACATACGTGCCCGTACGGGCGAGCCCCTTCCCGCGCTATGTGAGTGCGGACTACCGAGTGTCAGCCGGGCAGAAGGACTCGTGGGTCTTCAGGGACCTCCACTCCTGGGACTCCGTGCCCTTCCTCGGCTGGCCCGTCAAGGACCAGGGCGAATGCAGTGAGTTCGGGGTCTGGTAATGCTTGTCTGAGCGACTGCAGTGAGTGCCACGCCAACAGGGGGGCATTCTTTCTGCATTCTTGCATTCTTTCTGCATTCTTGCATTCTTTCTGCATTCTTTCTGCATTCTTGCATTCTTTCTGCATTCTTGCATTCTTTCTGCATTCTTGCATTCGTTCTGCATTCTTGCATTCTTTCTGCATTCTTGCATTCTTTCTGCATTCTTGCATTCTTTCTGCATTCTTGCATTCGTTCTGCATTCTTGCATTCTTTCTGCATTCTTGCATTCTTTCTGCATTCTTGCATTCTTTCTGCATTCTTGCATTCTTTCTGCATTCTTGCATTCTTTCTGCATTCTTGCATTCTTGCATTCTTTCTGCATTCTTGCATTCTTTCTGCATTCTTGCATTCTTTCTGCATTCTTGCATTCTTTCTGCATTCTTGCATTCTTTCTGCATTCTTGCATTCTTTCTGCATTCTTGCATTCTTTCTGCATTCTTGCATTCTTTCTGCATTCTTGCCTTCTTTCTGCATTCTTGCATTCTTTCTGCATTCTTGCATTTTTTCTGCATTCTTGCATTCTTTCTTGTTCACCAGCACTGTACCCCTCCCTGTGCTTCCTTCTGCTTTCCAACAGATGCATGCTGGGCATACGCAGTGGTGTCGAGCATAGAAGCAGCATACGGCATCGCGACAAACCTAGAGGCGCCGAAGCTGTCAGTGGATTCACTCTTCACAGCCATGGGTCTCACCACCCAGACAGCCAAGTGCAACGCTGGAGGCTCACCCACTGATGCCTTCGAGAAGCTAATGGCGCTGCCTAAGGGGGCCATTACTATGGACGGCAATAAGGTATGGAAGGCAATAAGGTATGGACGGCAATAAGGTATGGAAGGCAATAAGGTATGGACGGCAATAAGGTATGGACGGCAATAAGGTATGGACGGCAATAAGGTATGGACGGCAATAAGGTATGGACGGCAATAAGGTATGGAAGGCTGTAAGGTATGGAAGGCTGTAAGGTATGGAAGGCTGTAAGGTATGGAAGGCTGTAAGGTATGGAAGGCTGTAAGGTATGGAAGGCTGTAAGGTATGGAAGGCTGTAAGGCATGGAAGGCTGTAAGGTATGGAAGGCTGTAAGGTATGGAAGGCTGTAAGGTATGGAAGGCTGTAAGGTATGAACGGCAATAAGGTATGGAAGGCTGTAAGGTATGAACGGCAATAAGGTATGGAAGGCAACAAGGTATGAACGGCAATAAGGTATGGAAGGCAGTAAGGGCGTTTTGAGCACTGTTCAGGTTGTGCGGTCATCTTACAGGAATAAAAAACAACTCAATGCCAGTGACATTCTCACTCGATATAGCCCGACACTCTCTCGCAAATCTTTCCTCTCTTTGCCAATCTAATAACCTCATTTTTTTGCCCTTTTTACATCGCATTCACTTCCCGTCCCAACCCTCTCGTACTCTTCTGCATTACAGAAAATCACGTACCCTGTTCAGGGCTTTGAGCGCACTGCCTTCAAGGGGTATGTGGGGCTTTTGCTGGCAGTGCAGAAGCAGCCAGTGGTGGTTCACCTGGAGGCCACTGTTGCCTCGTTTGCAAAATACGACGGGGTGAGTGAATCCAGTTTGCGAATGGTTTGGTCTGGTGAGTGAATCCATAGACACCTCACCTACAATATGCTAAATATCCATAGACACCTCACGTGGAGGCCACTGTTGCCTCCTTTGCAAAATACAACGGGGTGAGTGAATCCAATTTGCCTTCAAATGGTGTGGTCTGGTTAGACAATTGCCACTGCATCTCAGGCTTCTTTCCGCTTCGTGCTTGCCATGTGTGACGTGGCACAGTTTAGCTTCCTTTCCGCTTCCTACATTTCTACAAATGATGTGGGGGCAAGGAACCTGAGTTGTGTATGTCATGCAACTCATGCGAGATTTTGCTGTTTAAAAATGAACAACCAGTGCTCCTTATATTTTTTTTACTTGATGTGCACCTTGGCAATGCCTATACGCAATGCTTATACACCTCCTTGTTGATGTTATCTAACCATCATATATTCATGTTTGCCCTTCTGTCTCCAGACTTTCAAGTACCAGGACCCTGGCTGCTATACTGGCAACCTTAACCACGTTGTACTCGTTGTTGGCTACTTCGTTTTGAGAGATGATGGGAGTGAGAACCGCATTGCGCCTCCCTTTTGGATCATCCGCAACTCGTGGGGCGAGGAGTGGGGAGACAGGGGCCACATGCGCATGGACATGCAGGGAGGGGATGGCGTGTGTGGCATCAACGTGCTGCCTGGCATCTACCCCATTGTCAAGAGTGAGACATTTACCCCGTTGCTAGGAGTAAAACACGCCCATTTCGAAGAATGGAACCTGTATAAGAGCTATTTGCGTGCTCCCTCCCATCTCTTTCTAAGGAACTTCAGGTTTCCATGGGGTTCATGAGAAAGCTGACACGTCAGCTTTCCTGAGGTCATGGGGTTCATCCTTCCCTTCTCTCCTCCTGCCTTCTCTCCCTTTTCTGTGCCATCCAGTTCCCAAGGACCCATGTGGCTTGAAGAGCTACAAGGGCGATGGAGATCTGCAGCCCAGCATGAACCCGTGCGGTCGCTTCACCTGCATTCCCAACCTCAAGACCAACAGCAACACCTGCAACTGCACCATTCCGGATCAGACCAAGCAGCCATTTGTTGAGGCTGCAAACGGCTACGGAAACATCTGCGTTTATGGTGAGACACATTCAAATTGAGTGTATTGTGCTTTGGTTTTGGGGAACACCTGTGTCTGTGGTGAGATATGGTGTAGTGTTTGCTCTTGGTTGCAATGTTTCCTCATGGTTCTGTCTGCTTATGTTGTAGCTTTTCTAGGTCCTGAATCCTTGCAGAGTTGTGAAGTAAAATACGCTTTACATGTGAACAACTAGCACTTGTGTGTGTATTATTGTGCTAAGGGTCAATCTTCGTGTAAATGCAGCCTGCGTCTCCTCCCCTCCCCTCCCCTCCTCCTTCTCCTCGTACTCTCCTTAAACCATTCCCAATCACCCCTAACCATCCCTCGTAACAGTGGACGTGTGTGGGTCGTACTTCAAGAACCCTTGTGCCGTGGGCACATGCATCAACGATGGCAAGGGCGCCTACTCCTGCATCTGCCCTCCCAACTACGTCCCCAGCCGAACCATCGATAACTTCCCCACCTGCGACCCAGGTGCTGCCTTCTCCCACACCTTCCGGTGCCTCTTCTTCCCTCCAACAGCTTAGTCCCCAACAGCTTAGTCCCCAACAGCTTAGTCCCCAACAGCTTAGTCCCCAACAGCTTAGTCCCCAACAGCTTAGTCCCCAACAGCTTAGTCCCCAACAGCTTAGTCCCCAACAGCTTAGTCCCCAACAGCTTAGTCCCCAACAGCTTAGTCCCCAACAGCTTAGTCCCCAACAGCTTAGTCCCCAACAGCTCAGTCCCCAACAGCTCAGTCCCCTGTCCAACAGCTCTTTCAAGAAATCTTGTATTTCTAGGTCACCAGTTATGAGAAACATGCTACACTTATGCTGATTGACTGTCACCAGTTGAGCTTGGGAAGGCTGAAAGGGTCAAACCTAGTTGAGGAATCCACAAGAAATCGCGCAGCATCGTCCGTCCTTCTATCCTTGTCACCTTCGCCCTTGGTATCGTTAGTTTCTGCCTCTTCAGACCTCAAATCGTCCCTTTTCTTGACTGGCCTTCACTGAGACTTCAATTTTGTGGAAGTCGTAAAAGTTTTGTCACATTTGGTTGCCAATTTCTGATCTGTTTCTCCTCTCCTTCCTCCCCCTCTCTCTTTCCCCTCCAGCTAACATGACCACCACCAGCATGACGGTGATTGGTGACAACTGGCAGTGCGTGGATGTATATTCCCTTGCAGGGCTCTCCAGTACGCAGTTCACACAGCAGAACACAGTAAGGGGAAATCATCAGGCATGGGAATCACAGTTGACTTTTGAGTCGACTCAACAGTCAAACGGGCAGTGCGTGGGCGTGTATTCCCTTGCTGGGCTCTCCATCACCCAGTTCACTCAGCAAAACTCGGTAGTAAGGGGAGATCATCAGGCATGGGAAGGAAGGACAGACCTGACTGTTGAGTCGAATCAGAGGTCGCCTTAGTTGTGCTGGGACGTGTAATCAGAATGGTACTCCCTCGCAGGGATTCCCAGCCCGCAGTTTTCACAGCAGAACACGGTAAGGAGAGATCAGCTGAAAGGGTTGGACTGAATTCGGTAAGGAGATATCAATTGAAAGGGTCGACTGAGCTAGGCATGCACATGAGGGACTGAATAGGCTGGGACGAACATTTCAGTTGCCTATAACCTGAATAGGCAGGTTGACAGCGGGCTTGTTGTTTGCCATGTTTCTCTGCTTTGTTGTTCAGAATCTGTATTAGCAGTTGGCCCGAGACCCTCATGCCTGTGCTTCAAAATGCATGTGATTCCAAATTCCAAATTCAAAATGGATGTAATTTTCAAATGCCTGTAAATCCCAATCCCTGTACTGCCTAATGCAGGCCGTTGCATGCAACAAAGCGCTGTCTAAAGGGACGGTGCTTCAGCTTGCTGAATCTCCTGTCGTCCCTTGCACTGCCTTCTTCTACGTTCTCAGTGTGAGTGCTGGAGCCATTATAGATTATTGTAGTTATGGATGATAAATTCTTGTTTGCTTGTTTGTTTGTTTGGTGTTTTTTTTTTTTTTTTTTTTTTTTTTTTTTTTTTTTAGCTTTTGGTGCAAGAGGTGCTATGCCTCCATCCTTTCATCCTCATCCATCTTTCCACCCTCTTCCATATCTTCCATACTCCCTTCACCCTCCAGGGCGACACATGTGCGTCCATTGCCAGTTCTATCAAACTTACAAGAGACGATCTCACAGACCTCAACCCCGGCCTTGACTGCACGCAAACCATTAAGCCCGGCCGCTCTATCTGTGTGGAGCGCAACGGAACCTTTGCCTACAGCGTCCCTCAGTGTGTGAAATACGCCACGCTCGCAGCACAGAGCACGTGCGAGAAATTGCTGCAGGGGTTGGGACTGCCAAGCACTCCTTCTACCTGGGCTGAGCTCTACCGCAACAACCCCGGTCTTGTCTGCTCCAACACCGTCCCTTTCACCACGTCGGCTGTTGGCAACAAAATCGGCGTGCAGGTGAGAAGTGCAAGTGGGAAAGGAATGGGTGGGGAAAGGGGAGGGTCTGTCTTTGCTTTGTCGCAACCTTTCCTGTTTCCCATCGTCCTATCGTTCTTCCTTTTCTTTTCTACCCCATGCCCTACTTGGTGCCCCCAGGTGTGCCTACAAGCGGATTACTGGCCGTTTCTACTCGGAAAATGCAACAAGGGGCGGCCCAAGAACGTGCCCCCAACGCTGACCTGTTCCGGTGCTTACAGCTACTATGGCGGCACTATGACCCAAGCAGCTTCAGATTTCAATACCTACAATGGCAATGCCTGTGCTGGGAAGGTCGGGGCTAAGTACATATGTGTGCCGCGCTAGATAAGAGGCTTAAGTTTCTATTTAATCATGGTGAGCCCCACCTTTCTATATTACATCCGCTATTACAAAACTACTCTGGTTTTGGTTCCGTTTCTGTATTTTGGGTTGGTTGGCTCACTTTATTTCGGGTTATAGTTTCAAAGCGTTTCTTGCATGCCTGAAGTCCCATTGTACTGTATATTGCTGGACTTATTAATTCACGCTATCTATTATTGAACATATTTTGACAGCTGTCTGGCTTTCAAACTGAGGTGGTTGTTGGTTGAGGGAAATTGGATAGTGCTCGTGGTATGAAGGAAGGTACGGTACCTTATGGCAAAGCCCTCTGGCAGAGGTGCCTGCCTTGTGGAGAAGAAAAATATGGTGGATGTGGTGTGGACAGTACATGAACGGTGGCAATAGGGACAACCAAGGAGTCAGAGGCAGTTTTCTCCCCTGGTTCAATCATGGGGATGCCTGCCAGGCTCAGGTTTGCAGTGTAATTCAGGCCCCACGTTATCAGGGCAAAACATCCTGATTACCCTGAATTCAGGATGCAGTTTTGAATTTACCCTGTCATTTCAGAATAGTGTAAATTTTAACCCTGAGGTCTCAGGATTGTTTTATATGAAATGCCCTGAACATTCAGAATGGCAGTAGTGTTCTTCCCTGTGGCGTCAGGATGAATGCCGAGGCCTGCCCTGACGCGTTTTTTGTTAAGAGGGGGGGGGGGGGGGAAGTCCTGTCTCGTAGCCCAGTCGGTTAGCATTCATTCAACCACTCAAACATCCAGAAGTGGCATAGTCAGTAGATAGATGAGTTCCTGGGATCGAACCCACCCCCGTGCATGCGTATATACAACTTCAACTTATATCTCTTTAACCTACCAATCTGAACCATGAACACTTGTTTTTTGCCCTGACAGGTCAGGATTGATTTTTGAAAAAGCCCTGAACATACAGGAAGGCTTCGAAAATCTGCCCTGACAAATCAGGGCATTTTTTACGATTCTGGAAAGGTGCCCTGAGGCCTCAGGGTGCCCCAAATCCTAGCACGGGCCCTGGTGTAATTTACCCTTCTATACTGATTACAAGGGTGAAATTTTGGGTCTACACTGATGTGCTGGGGTAATTTTTTGGTGAGTTAATGTTACACTGATCTGTAAGTGTAATGATTTAGGCCACACCGATGCTCTGGGGTAAATTTTCCCTTAGCGAAGATTACCCTGAAGAGCGTACAGGGACTCCCCCCCACCCTCGGAAAATCTACTTATCGAGAAGAATTTTCCTAGAACTTTCGTAATGATACACCTAATTTCGTAATGATGCACTACGACGCCAGCACACGAGAGTACTGACAACCGACACCGTGTCACTCCGTGTCTGCTTGCAACCTACCTGTTACTGTAGAGGCGATGCAACCTGATTGGTCGAAGCTGCACTCTCTGCAAGAATGTCAACTTTCTTGACTCGGAAATGAGGGACTCGAGGTCCCCAAACACACGTTCCCCCCGGGAAGCTTGCTGACTTGGCGAAAAATACAAGTGTTGCAGCGAAACCAGACCAGCCACTGCGCTCGACTTTTGAGTTCACATCACACACCCACCCACCAGCGCCCAACTTACGGTAGTACGGTAATCGTGCGCGATTTGGGCCTCGAGCTTGGTTGCTGCCAGCACATATTGAGCTGCCTAAAGTACAATCAGGGTAAAAAATATACCTTACACTGATGCCTCTGGGTAAAGTTTTCAAAACTTCAAGTTACACTGATCCATCAGTGTTTCCAAAAAGGGCACACTGCTCGGAAGGGTTTTGAAAAAGTCTACACTGCTAATCGTGAGTAGGCAAAATCTAAACCTAAGCCCTGATGCCTGCCTCGCCGCGGGTTGTGGTCCCACTCGGATTTCTTTCTCATCATTCTAATGGCGGGTGGTGACAAATGTCGCCCCTGTTTCTTCCAGTTGGAGTCATGTGATGGCGACGTTGCTTACTGATGTTGTCCATTAATTTTGGTATACCTATTTCATTAACTGGGTTGTGCATAGCGTTTTTCTACGTATGTGTGTTATTTGGGTCACAATCGGCCATAAAGATGACTCTGGTCATCTTGATATGTTGGGTCAAATCGAATTTGTTACGATATGAAGTTTTATGAGAAGGCATTCCTGTATGCTGCAGGAGCCGACTCTACCGAGTACGAAGTCGAGGAGTCAGAAGAGTCGAAGCGACGCAGCAACTGTCTGACCAAGACCGATGTAGGCAGAAACATTTGAAGTGAAAAGAGCGGGAACAGGGGTTCCCGCGCCGCACGGTTTGAATTTGCTGTAATAAGGGAATGTACCCCTTAGAGTACATGGCTAGTCTAGGTCTTTTCATATTCCCCTGTATTCTTATATAAACCCAATATATGCATGCTATTATCAACTCAGTCATTTACATTCACGCTGACCTGAGATTCAAACTTCCGCTGCAACACTACTCTGCGATCAACCCTGAGCGATCCTTCGCTAAGTCCCTTTTGGGATTGTAACATGGTATGAGATCTACTCAGGGATTCTTCGCAACTACACTTCCGTGAAATTTGCCGAACCAAGATCTGGCGAGTGGCACACGCTCCAAGACCAAGATGGCCGGAGGATCCGGAGGCCAAGCAAATCTGACGGCTGAAGGACAATCCAATCCGGCTGCGACAAATGAGGCGACAACCACGATCGGCACTGCCGCCCTCGAGCAACTCTTCGCTCGACTTTCGACTATGGAGAAAGAACTCC